TATACTCAGTGAACCTTTGTGTACTGTGGTAATACTCATGGATAACCAGAGAAAAGGCAAATAAGCTGTTTATCCCCTGACCCACTGTCTCGTGTAACGTTATTATTGAGCTGTATTGTAAATGGATGTCCCCCACAGCTGCCCATGCTTCATTGACATGGTTGTATATTTTGGCACTAGTTTGTTAAACATTTTTGTACTAGTTTGTAAAAAAATAAATAAATAAATAAAAAAAAAAACATTCTGTTATGCCAGTAGCACGTGCAGAATGTGTGTGGTGTGGACTGAACAGACAGATGCAATATATAGTGTGAATTTTGGGGTGGGAGAATTCATTCACTGGTGCTATTAATATATGTATTAATGCTGCATACACACCTGCAGGGCCTTTAGAATTTTCATATCATTGTCAATGTTAAGTCTCTGAGTATCTCAGTGTCAGCTGAGTATTAAGTAGGACGCAGAATGTATTAAAGCAAGTGAAAAAAAGGTCTGTGGAAGACTTTTGTTGTAAAGACAATTCGATAATAATTACCCAAGCAGACACACTGGGAGACTTAAAGTGTATGAGAGCTTTGTGAGGGGATCAATATCGAGTTGGGGTTTGAGAGAGGAGATGTACCCATGGGACACCTCAACAGACAATTCCATCATCCTTTCCATCCTGTGAGGGAAATTCCTGCTGTAGAAGATTCTCTTCATGTAGAAGACCTGGTGTAGAAGATTTCCTTTGCACGACTGAATTGCCCGGTTATTACACACTAGACTGTTATACTTAATAAACTGGCAAGTGTATATAGAGTATGTCTATATGTGTACACCAGGTTGCCGATATATTAGGTATGCCCATCTAATAAACAATAAATGTCAATTCTTACTTTCTAGATATATATATATATAAATATAGTTGCCGAGGTTGGACTTCAAATGGACAGTAGAATGTTTTTGCTGCTTTATTTGCTCTAGGCCATAGATGCGGACACAAAAAGCAAAAGAAGGCTCACTGGCCTGCCTTTTTCCAAGTTCACTGAGCTGTCTGTGCATCGATTTCACTGAGCTTTAATGCTGTACTAGCCCTCTTATATAAGCCTCATGTGTGAAGGGAGATTTGGTGAGTACAGAAATTGTGAAAGAAAATGAGAAAAGAAATGTTTGTGGCTAAGTCAGAGATTTCACTTTTTCATGTTGTTTTGGTTTAAATCTCTGTTATCCTGAAAAATAGGAATCAAGATATCATGTTATAGTAGTAGAAGAAAGTAATAGCATTTCATTTTTATTGTAATCCCAAGTAAAAGATTAGTTCTCTACACACCAATCAAAGTTGAAGGTCTTATTAATTTAAAAATACAGTTGTAAGTTTCTGACACTCTGTGGTACAGGTTGGCTTGAGCTTAAAGCCTGTGCTGTGAAAGGAATGGAGCCACGTTAGCCAGCAATCCCTCTACTTAAAGACAAATTAAGCCATTGATTTCTCTCCTTGTACTTCAACTACTATTGATTAGGCTATGTCGTCTAAAATTACCTCAGCTAACATTGCATCCATTACCCACATCCTGTAACCACTTTTATAGAGAGAAGTCATTTCCACATACACACACCCACACACACACACACAAACACTGACACTAAGAAGAACATATGATACCCATGAAACCATATCTGGAAAATATATTAACTACTAGATAAGGCTACCTGGATTTCCAGGCATATAAAACACAAAGAACAACATAATGCTCGTTATGAATTCCCCCTCTCAATGCAAGTCCTGGTTCCCAGCCCAGCTAATGCTTTTTGCTTTTGTTTTGTTTGTTCTCCACGTGCTTTTGCTTATGTTTTGCTATTTTGGTTTTGGTTCTGTCTCCAACTCTGTTATTACATTGCTCGGTTACCTTTATGTGTTTACCTGTTCTGTGTTTCACCTCACTTAATTTGGTAGTTTATTCTCTGTTGTGTCCATATATCCTTGCAAGGTCTTGCTGAGCATATCACACACTCCTCAGTGTTGTTTCTCATTGTGCATTGATTCTGGGTTTTCCAACTTTTGCTTGTATTTTTATTTCTATATATGGATTATACTTTTTTTGATGTTGCCCATTTGTGTTTTGATCATTACTATGCTTTTACTGTGTTTTTGCACTTGCATCCAGCCTGATCGATCTGTATGTTACAGCTCTGCATTGCAACTTTCATGTCTTTGTCAGTTGCTTGTTATAGGGAGGCACCAAAGCTCCTAGGCTGAGAGTGATGCTATGGATTGAATAATGTCGGAGCATCAGTCATGCAGTGGAAGCCACCTTTCTGATGTGTGATGTAAAGAATTTGAGAAAGTATGAGAGAGAGAGAATGAGAAAGAGAGAGATTAAAAAATATGCAGACTTGTACGCAAAGTTTGCAGAGAAACATGTTATGCATCCTTCATCAGTTAAGCAAGCCAAGTGCGTCTGAAGCTGTAGAGGTGAGACCAGGTGATACTCTTCAAAGCCTTAATTCATTGTAAAGGGTTCAAAAGTTTAGAGAGTGTATGTAAGTTGTTTTTGTGTGAGTGTGTGCACTTTATTGCTGCCAAAGAAACATGTACCACTGCTAATGTTATCTCAATTACTGATGAATTTTCTCACCACTGAATATGGGAAATCGTCATTTATGATGGTTCTGGACAGAAGTACCTGCTGGATCTTCACTTGGATTCCCCAGTGTACAGCTGATTGCATCTCTTGCAACAATGCATGAGCAGTGATGTGTGTACAGTGCTTTTGTTCTAGAGTGCTAAAAATTGTCCAACTAATATATGGACTCAATCGATACCGATACTGGGACAATACAATTTATTCATACTCTCGGATGTAAAAAAAAATGCTCAGATACTAACATCCTATTAACATGTGATACTACAGTCTGACAAGGCCACTTCTTTTGTTTTTGCTATACACTGAAGACATTTGGGTATGAGATCAAAAGATGAATAAGAGAGATCAGATTTTCATCATTCCCTGATATTTACATCTAGATACGTTAAACAGCTTAGACTATAGCACCTCTTGTTTGAACCCATCCATTTATCAAGTGATCAAAAATATTGATACATGTGACTGATGGATTGATAAATTGCCCTGTAAGATTGATTGTTTAAACAATTAATAACTCTGAATGTTTACTTTTGATCTGAGCCATTTGTTGTTTAAAAGGATAAACCAACATGAAGAAAAGAGAGCTGCCTATAGGCAAAAAACAAGATATTTTGAAGCTGAGAAAAGAGGGAAAATAGCCAATAGAACAATTTAGAATGTCCTGAAAAAGAAAGAAACTACTGGTCTACTAAAAATTAGACATCAAACAGGTTGGCCAAGGAAATCAACAGTAGCAGATGACAGAAACATTCACAAAGAAATACAGAGATGAGATACAAAGGTTTTAGAACCAAGATTTACCTCTACCAAAGTGATGGAAAGGCCAAAGTGTGGAGAGAGAAAAAAGATCTGTTCATGATCCAAAAAACACAAGCTCACTGGTTATACATGGTGGAGGTATTGTCATGGCTTGGGCGTACATGGCTGCTTCTGGAATGGGCTCACTAATTTTTATTGATGATGTAACTCATGATGGTAGCAGCAGAATGAATACAGAAGTCCACAGAAGCATTCTGTCTGCCAATTTACAAAGAAAAGCATCCAGTCTAATTGGGATGAACCAATCATGTAGCAAGACTATTACCCAAAACATACTGCCAACATAACAAAGGATCAGGGGAAAAAAGTTGAAGGTTTTAGACAGGCCAAGTCAATTACCAGACCTTACCTACCTTATTTCAAGCAAGGAATATGCAACCAAATATTAAGTGTTATTTATTTTAATCTACTTTAAGTCTATCTGTTCCAATAATTTTGCTCACCAAAAAATTGGGTGGTCTGCCACGAATGGTGTCATGTTCTAAGGTGTTTAACACATCTAGGTGTGATCTATTTAAGGTGTTAAATATCAGGAAATGAAAGCTAAAATTCTGCTTTATCGTTTCGTATTCATCTTTTGATCTCAAACCCAAATGTCTTCAGTGTATAGCAAAAGGAAAAAACTAAAGAATTGTCCTTGTCATTCCAATACTTTCAGAGAGGACTGTATGTCAAGCTTATACATTCTAAGTACTGTACATTGTCGCACTAATGAACAGATGATACAAAATGACAGTGATTTGGATATAATTTCAGAATTATTGATAGCAATCAAAGCAAAGCAGACTGTCAGAAAACACCAAGAGAAGGAATTACAGTATCTTCCTACATTACAAGTAACCTAAACATCTTAACCATAAAACCCACACACAAGGAGTTATCAGCAACCAACACTGCAGCAAACAATACTAAGTGTGAAAAATGTCTACAGACAACCCTACAGGCACAGTGAAGACAATAACTTGCTTTACTTACAGCATTATAGAAGCACATTTCTGAAGTGGAATAAATCTTATCTGATCCAGGGTAACTATTGAACACTATATTGCCAAAAGTTTGTGGACACCTGATCATCACACCTATATGTGGGCCTTTCCCAAACTGTGCCACAATGTGGAAAGCAGACAATTGTATAGGATGTCTTTGTTAGCTGCAGTATTACAGTTTTCCTTCACTGGAACTAAGGGGCCCAAACATGTTCCAGCATTACAATGCCTCTGTGCACAAAGCGAGGTCCATAAAGACATGGTTTGTCAAGGTTGGAGGGGAAGAACCCAAGTGGCCTGCACAGAGCCCTGACCTCAACCCCACTGAACACCTTTAGGATGAACTGTAATGCCAACTGCGCTCCAAGCCTCCTTGTCTGACATCAGTACCGGACCTCACTAATGCTCTTGTGGCTGAATGGCAAATCCCCACAGCCACATTCCAAAATCTAGTAGAAAGCCTTCCCAGAAGAGGGAATGTTATTATAATTGCAAAGGATGGCACTAAATCTGGGATGGAATGTTCAAAAAGCACATGGGTGCATGAGAAAACATTACATTGAAAATGGGCAGTGGTGGCTCAGTGTTTAAGGCGCTGGGCTACTAAACAGAAGGTCGGGGTTTCAAGCCCCAGCACTGCCAAAGCTGCCACTGTTGGGCTGTTGAGCAAGGCCTTTAACCCTATCTGCTCCACAGGTGCCATATCATGGCTGACCCCAGCCTCCTAACAAGCTGAGATATGTGAAAAAATAATTTCACGCTGTAATGTATATGTGACAAATAAAGGCTTCTTCTTCATGGCCACAGTATAAACTGGGGAACATAAAGAGATCTAAATAAAATGTTCACTGATGATGCACCTAATTGAATAATGCTAAGTAGGTAACTCATTTTGTGATTCTATCAGTATCAATGGATATCAATTGTGTTGAGTGTGTTTGAATTGTATACTCGTACTTGTATCCCAACTTGAATCCCCAGAAAAAAATTGTATCCCAACTCTGGATAATGATGGTCCCATCCCAAAAATGGGTGGGTTAGATAGGGTTTGACAAATTACAGTCTGTATATCTGCAAAGTGCACTTACTATACTGTTTATTACATTACCTAATAAAATGGCAAATGAGTATCATCAATTTATGGTAATACTTTGTTTTATGTCCTTTTTTTATCTTTAAATATGATTCTTACATTTTAAATCATGTTTCATAGAAATCAGACCATAATGAGGGCCTATTCTTCAGTAAATGAAAGTAAATCCAAGGTAGGTGTACCTAATAAAAGAGCAACTCTGTGTATAAATAACATCTTATCTTTTAATAGAACTGGAGGTACCTTGAATATATTTACTCAAATACCATTTATTTAATTCAAATATATTCCATTTTCCAAAACACACATAAAACTTAGGATACACAGAGATAACCAAAGCTTACAAAAACCAGAATCAAAACCAGAAAAGTAAGTTTTTGTAATAAGTTATACACATATATTAGGATGAAATGACTTTACTGAGTTACAGCCCCTCCAAAGTTATCAGAATGGTAAGGCCAGTTCTATGCAAGACACAGTTTTGGGATCAAAAGATGAATATGAGATGAAAGATCATAATTTCAAATTTAATTTCCTGATATTTACTTCAGATGTGTTAAATAACTTAGAACATGGCACCTTTGGTGGCTCACCACCCAATTTTTAGGTGAGCAAAAGTATAGGAAGAGATAGTCTTAAAGTAAATTAAAGTAAATAAGATTTAATATTTGGTTGCATATCCCTTGCTTGCAATAACCGCATCAAGTCGGCGACCCACTGACATAACCTGTTGCATTCTTCTTTTCTAGGACATGTACCGAAGCTTCTTTCAGCTGCTTCTTGGCAGACAGAGTGTTTCTGTAATATTCTGAATTCATTCTGCTGCTACTATCATAAGTTACATCAAGATTAATGAGCCCATTCCAGAAGCAGCCATGCAACCTATGCAGACACTACCTCCACATGATCATGAGAAGATCCTTTCTTTCTCCACACTTTGGCCTTTCCATTACTTTGGTAGAGGTTAGTCTTGGTTCCAGAACTTATGTGGCTCGTCTCTGTATTTCTTTGCAAATTCCAATCTGGGCTTCTGATTCTTACTGTTGATGAGTGGTTTGCATCTTCTGGTATGGCCTCTATATTTCTGCTCTTGGGTTCAAGCAAAAGTAGCCATGTTCTAAGTTGTTTAACACATCTAGATGTAAATATCAGGAAATAAAAGCTGGAAGTCTCTATTGTCTCAAATTCATCTTTGGATCTCAAACTCAAATGTTTTCAGTGTATAGAAAAAAAAAAGAATTGGCCTTGCTATTCCACTACTTTTGGAGGGGACTGTATGTCAAGCTTACTGTACATTGTTGCACTAATGAACAGACGATACAAAATGACAGTGATTTGGATATATTTCACAATTATTGATAGCAAACTGTGAGAAAACACCAAAAGAAGGAACTACAGCATCTTCCTACAATACAAGTAACCTGATAGAACATTTTAACCATAAAAATCATGTACAAGGAGTTCATTGTTAGCAGGAACCAACACTGCAGCAAACAATACTAGGTATGAAAAAGATCAACAGACAACGCTTAGGTGAGGGAAAGTAACTGACACACTGAAGACAATAACTTACTTTACTATCCTATAAAGGAAACATTGTGATAATGATCTGCAAATGATGCAATCCAAAACCTGTGCAGATATCGGCATTTCGCAGTTCAACATTCAACACGTAGAGTTAACACATTAGCTAGCTGATTGAACTAGACTAGTTAGCCAGATCTTTTGTTAATTTACAGCATGAAAGTTATTTATTAAACTTGAGATGTTAGGTAGTGATTGTCTGTTGTGTTGAATGTATAAGTGCTGTTACAGCCTAAAGGTATTGCTCAGGATAATGTGTAAGAGGCAACTTTGCTAGATAACAAAGGAACAGGTATGAATTAACATGAGCTAGCTAACTAGCTAACATACCTAGCAAACTACTGAAACCCCAACATTTGTTGTCAATGTATTTTGTACACTTTCCACCACTGGCAATTGAGGGTAATACATGGTTTATTTATACTTATATGTTGGTATGAATCTTACATTATTAATGTTGTGTTTTAAAGAAAAAGATTAGATGAAGCTCCAATTGCATGCATGATCTCACAGTATATCTTTCATGATAGTAAGGTAAACCTATTTTCTTTCTACTCATGCTCACAGAAGGCATGTGTGTGAAGTAGGTTTTAGTTTGTACATAAATTAAATATGACAGCCTGATTGTACAGCATGTACAACATGGCTCTGATCAGACCATAAACAGCAAAACTGCTCTGTAGGAGGTGGTCACAGTACTGCTTATACAGACTATACATTCTAATTATCGTGAACTAGCTGATGTAGGTTATGATGAGGTGCTGGCAAGGCACAGTGAAGTGTTCACCAAGACAGCGGATTGAGCCGGGCTTGTCATAACAGAGGAATCTTTTCTCTAGGCTTCAAGCAGTGCAGTGGAACAGTGCATTAGACCTGACTCCAGCTGACATGTAAATGAGTCTGTCCGAATTACTGCATCCCATCAGCAGCTAAGGGTCAGGAAGCTCCAGACTCCTGCTGCACTGTCAGCAATGATTCTGCTGCACTTTGCTAAAACAAGGGGCTAAGAACCAGCTGTAAGTAAGGCCATGGCGTGAGGAGGGTTGGGATGCATGAATGTGTGGAAGCAGATAACCGTTTAGTGCTAATGAAATGAGGGAAGGTTGGGGCAGAGAGAAATGAGATCAAGCTCAGGGAGACCTTGTGGGTATGAGAGGGAGGAGGGCCAATGACACAAGAATCAATGCAGCATATTAGTCTCAGTCCGGTGGCTAGGACAGCAAACACACACACACACACACACACACACTCTCTCTCTCTCTCTCTCTCTTAAATACTGCCAATGGTGTACAGTCTCAAACTGATTCCTGCACCAATGCATATAGCACTGTATTGACTAACTTAGAGAAAAGATCTAATTTCAAATAATACTACACAAATAATACAACTATTATAATAATACTAAATAAAACTTAAGAATGACACTATTAAGATTTATAAGGTCTCTTCTTACCCCTACAGTGAAAACATTTACCAGCTGTCCAGTTTTGGTGAGTCTGTTCCCACTGTACCCTCAGATTACTGTTCTTGTCTGACAGGAGTGGAACCCAATGTGGTCTTCTGCTGTTGTAGCCCATCCACCTCAAGGATCGAAGATGCTTTACTGCTTACCCTGGTTGTAAAGAGTGGTTATTCAAATTACTGCTAGAACATTTCTGGCCATTCTTTTATGACCTTTCTCATCAACGAGTCCTTTCCACCCACAGAACTGCTGCTCACTGGATGTTTTTTTGGCTTTCTCACCATTCTGTGTAAACTGTCTCGATGGTTTTGTGTGAAAATCCCAGGAGCGCTGCAATTTCTGAAATACTTAAACCAGCCCATCTGGCACGATGTGGCAAGATGTGAACATTAACTCAAACTCTTGACCTGTATCTGCATGACTTTATGCCTTGTGCTGCTGCATGATTGGCTACTTAGATAATTGCATGAATGTGCAGATATACTAATGGATGGTGAATGCAAATCCAATTAATGAGAGACTAAAATGCAAGCCTGGTCAACATGAAAAGAGTAAAAGTTTACATAAACTGCAGAACTTTTGCTTTGCGGAATATAAAACATCCAGTGAGCAAAAATTTTCAATCAAGTAGTAGCCTGTTCCCAGTGTAGCCTGGCTGAAAAAAACACACACTGGATATATATATATATATATATATATATATATATATATATATATATACATACATACATACATACATACATACATACAGTCAGGTCTGGAAGTATTTGGACAATGATGGAGTTTTTGTGATTTTGCCTTTATACACCATCACAATGGATTTGAAATAAAACAAGATGTGATCGAAGTGTAGACTTTCAGCTTTATTTTAAGAGGTCCCACAAAAATATGGCATTTACCATTTAGGAATTACAGCCATTTTAAGCAAAGTACTTCCTTTTTCAGGGGCTCAAAGGTATTTGGACAACTGACTGACAAGAAGTTAATTGACCGGGTGCAGTCCATTTCCTCGTTACTTCAAGACAACTGAAGCAGATAAAAGGTCTGGAGTTGATCAGGTATTGAGTTGGCATTTGGCAGCTGTTCGACTGGAGCTACCAATATGAAGTCCAAGTAGATCTCAATGCAAGTGAAGGAGGCCATCAAACAACATAAATCTATAAGAGCTATAGCAAAAACCTTCTTAAAAAGAAAGAAAGCACTGGTGAGCTCAACAACATCGAAAGGCCTGGAAGATCACGGAAGACAACTAAAGTGGATGATTGCAGGATTCAAGAACAGGAAAGCCAGATTAGACTTTGCCAGAAAACATCTAAAAAAAAGCCTCCCAAGTTCTGGAATAAGATTCTTTGGACTGATGAAACCAAGATTAACTTGTACCAGAATGATGGGAAGAGAAAAGTATGGCGAAAGAAAGGAACAGCTCATGATCCAAAGTATACCACATCATGTGTCAAACATGGTAGACTCAGTGTTATGGCATGGGCATGTATGGCTGCCAAT